CAGAAACATCTACTCACCACATCCCTCCCGTGAAGCTTATTCCTGCCTCAACTAGGGGATTCCAAGCCCAGTTTTAACACACCACAGATAGCTAGTTAAAAACTAGGCTAAGCCAGGTATGGTGGCACATGCCTATAATCCCAGCACTTGGAAGGCTGAGGTAGGAGGATTGCTGCCAGTTTGAGGCCAGCCTAGGGTACACAGTGAGTTCAACACCAGCCTGTACTACAGAGTGAGATCCTGTCTCAAAATATAGACAAACAAAAAACCAGCCAAAAACCCCACAGGTTGAACTCTAGTGGTAGGAGATGGGGAGGAGGAAGGGGAGAGAGGGGAAAGGCGAGGGGGAAGGAGAGGGGGAAGGAGAGGGGGAGGGAGAGGGAGAGGGAGAGAGAGAGATACAACACTACAGGAGACAGGTGGGGTGGAGAAAAGAGAGGTGACCGTCAGTCCCATAACCAGACTATGAGCTTCCTGAGGGCACAGGCTGGGCTTAGTATGCCGTGGTGGTGCAGGCAACCACATATTGGCCTGACAGCCCCAGAACTACTGTCCACTCTTATAGCCACTGTAAGGGGACATGTGCAGGCAGTGTCTACTTTGGTCAGGGAGAAAGGGAGACTCCTGCAGGGTCCCAGACCAGCCAGAGTACCTGCCTGGACTCCTCTCTCCTGCTCTGCCTCGGTGTCCCTTTTTCAAAGCATTGCATGGCCCTTATCACACCAGCTCCTTCATGCAGGACCTGGGACCTCGATGTCAAGAGGGAGCTGGGTCAGCTCTTCTGAAGGGACTTCTACAAGGCTCGATTTGGACATGACTGTCCCAGTACCCAACCTGTCTGCCAGCAGAGGCCCATCGCTCTCAGCTCAGCACCGGTGCCCTCAGCAAACACAGGATGTCATAAAAGAGAGAGAGGTAAGATGGAGCAGGGAATCTTCCAAACACCAAGACATCGTAAGACACCCAAACATTTACACTGGATGCCTCAAGAACTTTGCCCATGGAGGCTCAAGACATCCACAGAACTTTGACCACTGATGTTTACGAAGACCTTCTCGCCTCATGTCTCTTGCCTTCTTTCAAGCCCCATAAAAAGAGGCTGCTTCTCTTTGCTCCCTACAGATGGTCTTTTAACCCTCTGTCTGCTTGCACCCAGGCACAATAAATTCTGCACCATGTTGCCTTTACACAAGCCTCGTGGTTTTGGCTGGTCTCTGCCCTGAGCCATTCCTTACAACTTCGCCTGTCAATACCAGTTTAGCTGCTGATATTCTGAGGACAACACATCCTAGTTGCATTTTTAAAATTCCTGTTAACAGTGACAAGCAGGGCGGGGAGGAAAGGACGAAGCCAGCAGGAGGGCATGGCATCTGTTCCTTTCCTCCCTCCCCTGCCTTCTGCATTTACATCCCATACAGACAGCAGTCTGCATCCAACTGCTATCCTGCAGGCTTCCACAGGCTGGGGGAACTGAGGAGGAAGCACAGAAGGCTGAGGGGGAGGGGTGACAACGTGTGTAGGGCAGACAGGGTAGGTTTTCCCTGAGTTTCAAGATGCACCATTGGTCTAGAAGCCTGGTTGCAAAGTGCTGGCAGCTCTGTATGTCGATGCCAAACACAATGTTGGCTGCAGGGCAGTTCAGGAAGCCTGCGGACTTCCTTTGCTGTAACCTGTGGTCGTCTCACTAGAAAGGAAATCAGAGGATGGCATGTGGTGTCCAGTGTAGCAACCCAGCCACGGGGAGAAAGGTGGGTGTGGGGTCTTAGAAAAGGCCAGGAGAGACGAGAAATGACGGCATCACTTCAGCAGAAAGAAAGTAGACATGAACTCCTGAGGGAAAGCTTTCTCTGCTGCCACCCACGGCCTCACACCTGCCCCTGCTGGTCTCAGCACCCACAGGAAAAGGTGGCTAAACGTAGGCACTGTCTCAGTGGCCTGGAATCCATTTGGGGGCGGGGGTGGGGAAGCAAGACAGACAGTGAGCCAGCTGGCCCACCCTCATCAGTGCACAGTGTGTGTCCTGAGCCTGCGCTGTGTGGCCACCACCGGTGGCTGCAGTGACGTTTCTGGAAAGAAGTGGCCCAGCTTCTTGCTGACAGGCAGGGGGCTTAGCAGTGGAAGAGCAATTAACCAAATGGATCCATTTGCGAAATTGAAGGCCTGGGAGAGCCGGGCAGTCTCCCTGCCATGCGTCAGAGGGCAAGTGTCTGCTCCCAGTGACCTGAGCTGACAACAAGCTAAAGCCCTAGGGGTGGCAGGGTATGGGGGCTCCTCATCCTGGGGTGGGAAGAGATGGAGAAGGACGAGCTTTGAGAGCAGCAGATACCTAGGGCTGCTGCAGGTGGCAGTGGCCTGGGAACAAAGGGAGAAAAGCCAGAGAAAGGAAGGGCTCCTGCAGAGGTTTCCCAGCTGGAGCTACAAGGTCAGACTTGCAGCTGGAACCTGGTGAACATTTGCTCAGAAACATTCTGCAGTGTTTTGATGACACCTGGAACAAACACTTCGCTCCACCGCCACTGAAATACAGCCCCCAACCCAAGGGCCAGCTGTGCAGGTCCCAGGCTGGACTGCTGGGATTCAATTCCAGGCGCTGGCACTTTCTTAGAAGGGGTGGATGGGGACTCTAGGCAAGCACATTAACTTTCATGTACATTTATTTTGTCATTAGTAAAGTGAGGGTGACACAGGTCCCACCTCCTAGGGCTGCTGTGAGGAGGAACACAGGGAGCTGCAAGGGAGCACAGCGCCTAGGTGTGCTCAGGTGTTGATTATCATCATGGCTACTGTCAGCAGCTAAAGCAACCCAGCTCAGCTCCCCTCTCTCGGGAATTATTATTGTCCCCACAAGCACCACATGTCCCTGCATGCCTGTAGTTCTCTTTGCTCTGTCCTTAATTTTTTTCTGTGTGTCTGAAAGTCTCCAATAGGTACCCCCTTTGCAATGCATGGCTGCCCCCGCTGGGAGGCAATGTGTAAGGGCAAGGCAGGAAAACAGGCCTGAATGCAGGGCATCACTGTTCTAGTAAGCCATTCTCTCTCTCTCTCTCCACCCCCATTCCTTGGTCTCTCTGTCTCTCTGTTTCTCTCTTTCTGTCTATGTCTCTCTCCAGTACCGAGGACTAAACCCAGGCCTTGTGCATGCTAGGCAAGTGTTCTACCACTGAGTGATATTCCTGGCCCTTTGCATTTTTTATTTTGAGACAGAGTCTCACTAATTCACTAAGTTGCCCAAGCTGGGCTTGAACTTGTGATCCGCCTGCTTCAGCCTCCCAAGTACCTGGGATTACATGTGTGTACCACCATGAAGGGCTGGAAATAACTTTGTGGAGCCTCAGTTTGTCCATCAATAAAATGGAAATGATACAGGTTATGCTCATATCACATGGCTGTAGGGAGTCAAATGATACGACTCATGTAGAGACACACTATAAAAAGGATGAAGCTCCTAGCCAACCGGGATTGCTGCTTAGCCTGGAAGTGTACTGAGGTACAAGCTAGACCAGGGAGCTCTAGTCAGGCAGGCTGCAGCAGTTGTCACCCCTGGGGACTTCCAGATCTGCTGCTGCACAGGGAGGTCACTGTCATCAGACATGGCAGGCTTCAGGTTCCCTAGGGTCTAGACGGGCAACCCAGGGTGTACGCTCCCCAGGAAGCCTGAAGGAGGTTTTTGGGGTAGGAATACAGTGGGAGAGGGTGCATGAAAAGTGGTGGGAGGAGACACAGTGACCCTGAGGGGGAGTAGCTCCCCGATTCTGCTGCAAACCTGGCATCTGTTTGCATGTAGTGTTACACATACTACATGTCTACTTAACTAAACAGGCATAACAATTTCGTGATCAGAGTCCTTCTCATAGAGTAAAAGCAAAAAAGCATGTTGTGGCACCTGCACCCCACTATCCCACGTTCAAGTGTTGTTTGAGAACAGTGAAGATGAAAAAGCCCTGCAGTCCGATGCATCTTCCAGGTGGTCCCTGGAACCTGATGCTGTACTGTGGCCAGCCAGAGCCCTCAGAGGCCCACACAGACTACTTTCATACAGGTGTATCTGTGCTGCCACTGATATGAGCCATAACCTGCACATCTATTGAACACCTACTATATGCCATCTCTTTACTCTTTCATCTCCACAGTAAGATGTTCATTACTACCCTGCTTTTATAAACTGACAAACCAAGGCTCAGAGTAGATTAAAACAAACAAACAAACAAAAAAAACTTTCCAGAGATCACGTAGCAAATGGGGCTGGACTAGCATCAGGTCTGCTCTGATCCCAAAGCCATGTTATCAGTGTGCTCCGTCTCCTCTTTCCCACACTCTCCTTGTCTCCTCCCCAACTCTATCTGGGGGATCATGAGAAACATGGGGAGGAATCTAGAGCCAGAAAGATGCTGCCCTAAGGCAGAGATGGTCAAAGCCAGAGAAAAAGGAACCCAGGCCTTGGGGTCAGACCACCCTGCCCTGCAGCCTCCGGGTGGCCAATTAATCCCCTGATAAAATCGAAGCTCTGTCGCCCTGCCTGAGGAAGCAGGAAGGCCAGAGCAGTGGGAAACTCTAGCCGGAATGGAAAATGCAGACCCTGAACCCAGGGTGTGGCTTCAGTGCAGTGGCCTCGCTACTTCCTGCACCTGGACAGCTGTCCACCTGCCAGGGAGCCAGGCCCCGCCCGGAGAAGAGGTTCTCAGCTGCCCGCCACATGCCAGGGCTGTCACTCAGAAGCCTCCAGGTTGTGGGGTCCAGGCTAAGGGGGAATTCAGGCCACAAGCAAAGCTGGGTCCCAATTTTCCAGTTCAATGGATGGGGGCACAGTGGCGAGGCTGGCACTGCTGACTCCACCTGCAGGAAGAGGATGTCAGTGCTCCCCACCCCATGTGCCGGCCTCCATGCAGGTAGGTCCTTGGGGTGTGGCTCTATGGTGACTCTGGGCTCCTATCCCTGGGGAGAGGGAACCAACCATCCCTGGGAAGACACCTGGGGCAGAAGGCAAAAAAACGTCCACTCACCTCCTCCACCTCCTTCAGCCTCTTCCTCACAGCACCAGGGGTGGCTCTGCGGCAGTGTGCAGAGGGCAGGAAAGCTCCAGGGCCCCAAGCTGCACATAAGTCAATCAACCTGTCTCAAAGTAAGCACAAAGGAGAGCCCCACGGTTACTCTAGGGAAGGGGAGAAGGCCTTGTGGTTTGCAGCATGGTCATTCACTGGGGAAATGACATCTTCGTCCACATCCATTCGTAAAGTTTTGCAAAGCGTTAAGACCTCTTTGTCTGAAGCTCAGAGGCCTGTGAGACAGTGGCAGAGTCTGCAAGGTGCTTAACCACATTGGTCATCCTTCCAGTCATTTTTCAGTGCCTGACACCAGAGTCTAATTGCTGATTCTCTTCACCTGAATGGAGTTCAGCTATAGCTCAAAGAAGCTCTCTCCTACTCCCAAGGGAGAATTTACCCATAATTATTTAATTAACGTCTTACCTTCCTTAAGAGAACTACTGTTTTTCTTTCCTGTCTATAGATAAACAAACTTGACTTGATCATAAATAAATTCATAACACACTGAAAGGAGATCTAATTTTACAATTTTCCGTTCTTTTATTATGTCATTGAGGGTGAGGCTCTTGCCTGTTCAAGTCTCAGTTTCTTCAACTGTAAGATGGGAAGAAAGTTCAGTAACGTAGATCAGGTGGACATTGGGCCGCTAGTTAACATGTGGGGGACTTGACTTCTGGTTCCAGTTCTTTGGGGAAATCATTTTTAACTTTTGTCAGTACAGATAATAGGTTTCATTTAATTACACGCTTTACATTGAAGTGTATCTGTGGGAAATGATAAAGTCCACTGCAGTAAGAGAATGTGGCAATATCCACCAAAGTAAGTATGCATTTATTCTTTGATTCAGTAATCTTAGATCAAGGAGTCTATTTGAAATATGTCCTCTATGCCTATGTTGTGAGATCATGTTATTAATCAGAAAAGTATGACAGGAAAAAGTGTGTTTAACATGTCACCGTTCCCTTAAGAAAGGGGACAGGAATGCAAAAGTATGTATGTATTTATTAGATTTTTAAAAAGACATTAAGAAGATAAAGCATAAACTACATTTTAAAAGGACCATGGGAGGGAAATGAGGCGGCAGGGATCGGGGCTCTACATTCAAAGCTGACTTTGAATATAGTTAGTCTCCATCCTAAGAACAACTTCTGTTCTGGGAGAACATTCATAAGTCGGATTTGTTCATTAAGTCTGACAAAATGAATCTTATACACCTTTGACACAAATATATATACTTTTTTTTTTTTATTTTTTTATTTTGGTACCGGGACGTTATGCTTGCCAGGCAGGTGCTTGCGCTACTGAGCTATATTCCTGGCCCACAAATATATATATACGTTGTAAAGCATAAAATACCAAATGCGAGGTCCGTTCATATGTGAAAGTTTGCAACTCAAATGTAATTTGGAGACTTACTTTGATGTATGGCTTTAGTATGTATAAATATGTGACTTTATAAAGCACAACTAAAAATGTTAAAAGAAGTTCCTAAAAGTGAAAATAAAATGAGAGAAATGAACCTATGATGGCAGTGGTTGATGTAACACACATAGAGAAATTAAAACATGATTATTTGATTATATTTTATTTGATGGTTATACCCTCAAGAAAAAAAAGAACTGCTATACTCCCTCTCAAGAAATCTAAAATGGTTCCAATAATTATATTATGGATGGTACTATGATATTATTGTTATTATTAGTCTAAGATATTCACATGTTCATTATGGGATAAATCAAGTCATAATATTAATGCTGCTGAGAAATAAGATTTTCTGATTAAGATGCTCATGTAGGATTGATGGGATTGGGTAAACTTCTGTAGTCATTTTTTTTTTTAAGACAGGGTCTCGCTATGCAGTTGTCTTACTTTTCTCATTGCTGTGACAAAATACCTGACACCCAAAGTAAAAGGGGGAAAGGTTTATTTAGCTCATAGTTTGTAGAGATTTCAGCCCATAATGGGCTAACTCTAAGGCAAAGCGGCACATGACAGAGGGGCAACTGCTCATGGTAGCAGAAGACAGCAAAAGCAACAAGAGAGAGTGGGACAAACCTCCTTCTGTCCTTACATCGTATCTGGACTACTGGGATTAGGGCAGTGCCAATCCAATCAGTGGACTGATCAACACTGTACTATGAATCAATCACACACCCTAGATTCAGCCACCTTTGAAAAAATGCTATGACTGCACGAGGTTTTGGAGGGACATCTAGACACAAATCATAATATTTTGCCCCTGACCCCCACAAAGACTCATGCACATCTCTTTATTAATCCATCTTCAAGAATTGCCAAAGTCCTAACACTTTCAACACTGTTGAAAAGTCCAAGTCAAAAATCTCCTCTGAGATGTAAGGGAAACTTTTAGCTGTGAGCCCCTGTACAAATGACAAGAAAGTTAAACACTTCCAACATTCAATGGCACAAGATAGACATTTCCATCCCAAAAGTTACAAATGGGGATACAAAGGATTGGGACCAAAGCAAGTCCAAAATCTAGCAAGGCAAACATTAAATCCTGTAGTTCCATGTGCAGCATCTGAGGCAATCTGTAGCAATATGTGAACTCCAAAGGGCTTGTGTGGCTCAGCCCCTACAGCATTTCTGGTGGTTCTAACTCCCATGGCTTTTCTCTTGGGCCTGTTCTGCTCCCTCCTTGCAGTTTTCCTCAGATGATCCAAATTCCTGGATTCTCCAAACTTCTGGGGTCTCCACTGTACCTTTGGCTTCACACTCAAAACTTCAACTTCACACACTGCCCTCTTGGGGGCATACCGCCTGGCCTCCCAGGCCTTCTGAAATTCCAAGCCTTCCTTACCCCATAACTCTGACATTCTGCATGCACCTAAAACCAGGACCATGTGGATGATGCCAAGTTCTGCTGCCAGCTGGAGCATTAGCCAGGCTTTCTTTTCTCTTGGCTGTAATGGTCAAGTGCCTGGATCACTGAGCACTCTGAATCAAATTCTGCAGGACAAATTCTTTATGCTGCTGCCTTTCTGGAACATGGTGCTCTGTGGCTTTCTTCTCAAAGGAAAGTCTTTCACTTTTGCAATTTTGAGGCTACAAAAGGTGGAGTCCTACTGCTTCTTGTGATGCTTGCAGGCCCTCTTTTCTATTTTCCTGTTCCTTCTCAGTACTTAAGATCTGCTCTGCTCTATCTTTGCAGTCCACGACTTTACTGGAGCTTCCTCTCTGACCAAACTCACAATGTTTTAAATCATTCTGTTGGGCTCTTTGCTCTTGATTTTCAACATAAATGTGACTAAGAGCCCCCAACAGTAGCCATCCCACTGCCTCAACATTTGACTGCCTTGAGACTTCTTCTACAAGATTAATTAGTCTGCCACCCTTAATCTCAGCCTCAGGCAAAGTCTGTGGACAAGAACAAAATGCAGGCAAACTTTCTGCCATGGCATTGCACACATTGTCTGGAGTCTAGCAGCCTGTGCAGTCCTTCTTCCCAGCAGAAAACTCCTGAGCCTGGTCTTTACCAGCAGCATTTCTCTCAGCCTTCTGGTCTTCTGAGCTCTGATCAGAATCTCCCATCCAGCCTAAGGTATTTCAACCAGCATCTCTGAATCATTCAAAACTCTTCCCACAAGAGATTCCCAAAGGCTCTTGAACCACATGGTCAGGTATAGTCACAGCAATGACCCTGTATGCAAGCTACCCACCCCTGGGTGGGTGTAGCACTCATATGATCTAGTAGTTCTTCTCTGGCACTGAATTCTGTCTTAGTTACTTTTCTTGTTACTGAGACAAAATACCCAACACCCAAAGTTAAAGGGGGAAAGATTTATTTAGCTCATAGTTGTAGACATTTCAGTCCATCATGGGCTGGCTCCAAGGCAAGGTGGCATGTGGCAGAGGGGCAACTGTTCATGGTAGTGGAAGACAGCAAAAGCAACAAGAAAGAGCGAGGCAAGCCACTTTCTGCCTCTTATACTATATACTGTCTACTGGGATTAGGGCAGTGAAAATCCAGTTAGTGGACTGATTCAGCAATCACTCACCCTTAATCTCAGCACCCTTAATTACAACAGTACTCTATGAAACAATCACACACCCTATATTCAGCCACCTCTGAAAAAAACATTATGACCATATGAGGCTTTGGGGGGACATCTAGACACAAGCCATAACAGCAATTCAGGCTGGTCTTGAACTCACTATGTATCCCAGGCTGGCCTCAAAATTGTGGTGATCCTCTTGGCTCAGCCTTCTGAGTGCTGGAATTACAGTTGTGCATCACTGTGCTCAGCTAAAATTCTGTAGCCCTGATTATGATTGTGTAGTTCTGATCAGAACCAACAGTGTGAACTCCATACATTTTATCTGAATCATACGCATGTGTGTGTGTGTACATGTGCACATATTTCTTAGCTGTTCACTGCAAGGCTTAGAAATACAGAAACTATAGCCATCATTGCATGAATGAGTACCCCTACCAATCATATTATGAACCCTAGTCAGGCTTCCTTGGAGAAATGGCTTTTTCCAAATTCAATGCAGCAACTGTTCGAAGTGAGCCTGGCACATCTCATCATACCAAAAAAGCAAGTGAAGTGTCAAAGACTATAGAGTCACAGCAAAGGTCTGAGAAGCCAACCAGTTTCCCTGGTGTCAAGTGGGTCATCAATAAGGATAACAACTGTAATATGGTGTGCGCTGGTGTCTTAGTTACTTTTCTCTCATTGCTGGGACAAAATACCCAATGCCCAAAATGAAGGAAGTAAAGGTTTATTCAGCTCACAGTTAGTGGAGGTTTCAGTCTGTAATCAGCTGCCTCTAAGGCAGGGTGGCATGGTGAGGGGCAACTCTTTAAGGTGGCAGAAGACAGCAAAAGCAACAAAAGCAAAAGGTGGGGAGGAACAAGCCTCTTTTCCTCCCTTATGTTGTATGCAAGCTACCCACCCCTGGGTGGGTGTAGCACTCATATGATCTCTGTGCCCTCCTCTTGCACAAGTTCAGGATGTTTGCAAAGTGAGGATGCTAGCCCCCTGCTGAATGACTTAAATTCTGAACTTCTCAAGTTGACAATGAACAACATCCTAGTGCAGT